CCTCACTCCCTGTCTTATAACTCTTAGACTCTCTCTCTCTCTCACACACGCGCACACACACACACACACACACACACATACATACAAGACCTTTTCTTTATTTAGACAATAACTAATCAGGGGGAAGTCGTGGCCTAATGGTTAGAGAGTCGGACTCGTAACCCAAAGGTTGTGGGTTCGAGTCTCGTACCGGCAGGGATTGTAGGTGGGGGGAGTGAATGTACAGCGCTCTCTCCCACCTTCAATACCACGACTGAGGTGCCCTTGAGCAAGGCACCGAACCCCCTGCTCCCCGGGCGCCGCAGCATAAATGGCTGCTGCTCCAGGTGTGTGTGTGTTCACTGCTGTGTGTGTGCACTTTGGATGGGTTAAATACAGAGCACTAATTCTAAGTATGGGTCACCATACTTGGCCACATGTTACGTCACATCAGTTACAAATGTATCTGGTACATGTACATTTGTACATTCCCTACTAAAACGGCACCAATTCCAGACATAAATTCCAGAGACAAAGGAAACTTCTCCCGCTCAAAAATTCACGCCTGGTATTGGCTATTCCACCCAAAGTTAGCTCGAAATGATCTTTGCTCAAAAAAACTCTTCTTTTGAGACGACACTAAGACTTCTCAAGACTCTACTCTGGAGTTTGATTTTCCGGCAGTTTTTATCTTCAAGTAACTTCGATCCGCTGTGGACTTTCCTATCTTCAGAAGAAGACAAAGAAAACTTCCAGCTCACTTCTAAGAGAACTCAAGAACCATTGTCTACCGCATCAGGAATCTTGTTCAGCAATCGAAGCCAATGTAAGTATTTTTGCTTTTGTTGACACTTTAAGTTATGTTTAGGGTAGTGTTTTAGTAAAAGCTATTTTATAGGCGATAGAGCATTAACCGTTAGTGCCACTCACTGGACATTTCATTTTAAAAACTGCTGGGATATCTACAAACGTAATGAAAGGTTGTGTGGTTCACGTATATTGGTTCGGGATGAAACTGAACTGAACTGGACATTTTACTTTGAAAGTGTTGCGAAAAGTGCACTTGACAGAAATGATACCACAGCCCAATTGTTTTCCCAAGTTTTATCTGAGAAATATTTACCTGACACCAACACAACCAAACTGGTAGACACAACTTTACAGTAAAAAATAACAACTAATAAAACACCCTAATTACACAAAGCGCTGTGATAAGCAGCAGAATTTAGAAAAACATTTAATTAAAATAAAGGAAAACATTTAAGTGATGAACTTAGAATTCAGTAGATCTTTTATGCATCCTCACAAAATGTTTAACTAATGAATCAGACTTCCAAGAGCTACCTGAAAAATACTAGTTACTTAAAAAGTCAGAAAAATTGGAAAACAACTGAGGTATTGTCAAGATTGTCCCTCTCTTCACTGTTAGCATATGGCTAGCTCTAACGATTTGAAACATCTGACAAAGAAAAGAACAACAGAAAATGCTAATGAACCAGCACTTAGACATCAAAACACATTTCTAGATGCGAGGAAGTTATCAAAGTAAAAAACAAGGCAGCACAAATGAGAGCGGAACCAAACCAACAAATCACAGCTCTGACAGTAATTTGCAGAGAGGCTAATTTTATGTGGCGTAACCAGACTGAATGTTTTCGTAGCACCGCTACTTGAACTTAGCTACTCCCCAACACTGTCAATGACGAGCTCTGCCCTCTCTTCACTGTTAGCATATGGCTAGCTCTAACGATTTGAAACATCTGACAAAGAAAAGAACAACAGAAAATGCTAATGAACCAGCACTTAGACATCAAAACACATTTCTAGATGCGAGGAAGTTATCAAAGTAAAAAACAAGGCAGCACAAATGAGAGCGGAACCAAACCAACAAATCACAGCTCTGACAGTAATTTGCAGAGAGGCTAATTTTATGTGGCGTAACCAGCCAGGGGAGACGTTTGCTTTTAACAGGCATCTGTTTGGGGCCTCAGAATCTACACCTAAAGGAAAAAATTTTCTGAAAGCATCTGACAATTCATCTTACCGTGACAAGAACACGCAAACATCAGAAGAGAAGAGAAGAGAAGAGAAGGTCCATAATTCAGGAAAATAGACAAGAATAGAGAGTGTAAAGATTAAGAATTGGGTAAACGAGAGAGTTTGAGGTGTATCATGTTGCAAGGGATTTGGAGGGTCAGGTCAGAAGGAGTCTATTAGTCTAGAAAGTCTACAGTGAAACAAATAATATGGTGATTCACAAACCCAATTGAGATGCCCAACACTAGCAGAAAAACACAGCAAGATCTCATTAGTCCCTAATCAATGTTGACATGTACTTAAAACGTGCTGTCTGCATGTTTTTCAGTGTCTGGATAGTCAAATCTAAAAAAAAACAAAAAAAAATTATTGCCAGACATAGAGATTGAGGGTGTGTCCATTGACAGGAGGAGTGTAATGTGAGTAAATAAGTGTGAGAGTGAATATGAATGAACAGAATCAGGAGGATCCGATTACTGAGTCTCAGTCTAATGACACTGTTTATCAAGGCCATTTCCTGTGTCCTTCTACAATTATACACACCCTCCAACATCACTAATACATATAATAGACATTTCATCCCTGATAGAATAAATATCATTTGCAGTATAGTACAGGTTCAATAACGAGGGATTTGATATAAAGCCTATAAAGTTTCTGAACCAACATCCTAGCAGCATACTCACGGCTGTGATACAATTTTCCTACAGTCTCATTACCTTGGTTTTTAAGATGCTGTGACAACTTAAAAGAAATCTAGTTTTTAAAAACATCTATAAAGACCCATGTGTTCAGTTCTATTAAGTTGACTTCAGCTGGAAGACTTTTATGGGTTCTGTGGGCAGGTGTGTAAGAAAATGGAGGAGAGGAAAAGAGAGATAGAAATAGAAGATAGAAAGAAAGAACAGGGGAATGAGATTTAGAAGATAAAAACCAGTGAAGCAGACCATCACAAATTAGCCTCAGACCTGCACGGTAGTGATGGGAAGTTCGGATCATTTTACCGACTCGGACCTTTGAGTCTCGTTCAGCAAAATGAACGAATCTTTTTTCGAGTCATTTCGTTCATTTTAGCAAAATATAATTAAAATGTTACGTGTTACTTCCCTAATACGTCTACTACTTTCGCAAACGTTGATCACACTACAAACAATACAAAACTGCTATAAGAAACAGAAAAGATTAATTCATTGTAAACTTACCTGGGTCTTCAGTCTATGATTAGCTTACCTCACCTCTTATCTGACAAGTCTTCGGGTTTGAGTCGTTCGTTCATCACGTGACAGCCCCATACGCTTAACATATGCAGTCTGAGCCAGAAAGAGTCTTTCGAATCATTCGTTCTTTTGTCATGTGACGTGACAGCATTGGATAGAGAAATTAGTTCATTTACAAGCTTCCTTACAAATGGGTGCATAGTTATTATTATATAATTATTATTTACTCTTACAGTTACGTAATGCGTTTCTGGTCTCAAATTGTAGCTTTTTACTTCTTACAGTTTATAAATGTGTGAATTTCTGTCATTATGGTTCTTTTCCATAACACTGAATGTTGTAACAAAGGTAATAAATAGTTGGTTACTATTATTAAGTCTCTTTCTGGCTCAGACTACATATGTTAAGCTTATGGGGCTGTCACGTGATGAACGAACGACTCAAACCCGAAGACTCGAGAGATGAACTAATCAATTCTCTTTCTGGCTCAGACTGCATTGGTTAAAGCTTATGGGGCTGTCACGTGATGAACGAACGACTCAAACCCGAAGACTCGAGAGATGAACTAATCAATTCTCTTTCAAAATGAACGAATCGTTCAAGAATGACCCAACACTACTGCACGGCCCACAGATCAATGACTTTAACACACCTAACACGTGATACACACCTATTCAACACCATAGACTTCAACTGTTTTTATCTGATGCTCATTCATTTTAGACATTTAAGGATGTCCATGTGAGCCACCAAAGGGTTGTTTTTGTCAGATTTATTTATTTCACTTTTAGCAACAATTATGTCCCCGCTACTCAGCCCAGACAGAATCCGCTGTCATTTTTTGCATTTCTTTGTTGGGAGATTTTTGGGATGTATGGTGTATAAAACTACAACACTGGGCCTACAACAGACATCAATATACACCATGTACATACAACATAAGAACACACAAACAGGTATCAAAAGAACAAGTTTTTGATATAGGGACACACAGAAGTAATCAAAGCACTGACCTTAAAGCTCCAGTAGTTTGGCTGTTGCTATGGAAAGAGAGAGAAGAGAGAGAGCAAGTGTTACTTAGACATTTATCTCTGTGTGTGGTGAAACCTCATACACAGTCACCATCTCCAACCATCTTTTGTGATAAAAGAATGTGAAGGAAAATATGAACAGAGAGAGAGAGAACAGATCCCAGTGAGGATATCTGTCAAAATTTACTGAGAATTTTGGACTCACATTCATTTCAACTCACTCGTAATAATAAGCAATTGTAAGTAACTACAACTAATATGTTGCATTACTTAAGGCCTATACACAAGAAAGGTAGAGCTGCTCTAATTACTGCTTTATTATTTATTCTGTAATTACAATATAATATTTTCATTCACCATTTGATGCAATACGTATTTATACCACCAACGCTAACGTTCAAAATTAAGGGCAGAAGGATTTTTTTATGTAAGTCTCTTATGCTCATCAAGGCTCCATTTATTTGATCAAAAATACAGTAACATTGCAAAATATTACTTCAATATGAATTTTCAGCATTTTCAAGAAACAATGTGCCTGCTTATTATTTTTTTGTGGAAATTGTGATACATTTTTTTCTCCAAAATGATGAATATAAAGTTCAAAAACAGCATTGCTTTGAAACAAACATATTTTGTAACATTATAAATGTCTTTACGCTCACCTTTGGTCAATTTACATTACATATAATTAAAAGACTTACTGAGTCGAAAACTTTTGGTAGAGTATAAGCAGCAATTAACAGACTTTTTACACCACATATGCGGCTTCATACGCAGCATTTGCAGAATAAAGACGGCATTAATGCACATGGTGACACAGAGACACATGATTCCTCTTGTCTGGTCATCATATGGAGCTGTTCTGAATGGGCTGTCCCTCTAAATGAGTCTGCATGAAGGTATTTTGAGGCTTTCTCTCATCTGTCCATCAGCTGCCCTGTCTGACGGACTAACTGACAAGATTGCAGAAAAAAAATTAATTAAAAAGATCCCCTCTGTGTCTATGCTTGGCCTGCTGCCCAGACCTATCAATCATACTGAAATTGGTCAGCTGTCTGAAGCGCTCACACCTATCTCTCCCATTTCATCCGTGAATTTCACATTTACGGAAAGTCAAAGACATTACCAGGTAAAACCAGATTATAACGTTCTTTTTTTATTTACTTGGTCACTTTTGACTCTTTTGTTGCAATTTTATAAAAAAAAAAGAGAGACAGAGAGAGAAAGAAATAAAAGTAATTTAAATCACTGCCATTTCCACCACAGAATGATTCGAGATGTGATGGAAATGACACTGTTGTGAAAATAATATTTTAAACACTAATTTGTCTGTCATGTACATATGCCCGCTGCATTATTAGACAGACAACATTACATTATTAAAAGACAAGTTAAATAAGCTAGTTAGTCTGAAAAATGTGGTTAATAAAGTGGTTTATTTTCTTTATTCAGTTCATTAAGGCCACAGGGACTAAAGTGCCCTGAGTTCCCATATATTCTTTGAATAAAACTCAGACTGCCGCTTATTTGGTGAACCCAACCCTGATCGATCAAGACCTTTGAATATTTCATGGCCAAGTCTAGACTACATAGTCAGCTGATTAAAAGTGTGTGCGTGTAAAATCATACATTTAGAGAAAAATATATTAATTGGAAAGCTTAACATCAACTAAACATTTCCTTCTACACAAGGCCAAAAATGCTGCTGAACTCCCTTGAAGCAGGATGTTGATATCAATGGTGTATAATAGCTCACCGCTCATATAGCAGTACTTCAGCATTATATTTCTAGTAAAATAATATTCTGTGTATTCATTCACCTGCTTTCAACTTTGTGCAGTTCATCCTGCCAATGCCCTACAAGGAGCAGCAATAAGAAAAATACATGCAGCTCTATGAAGCACTACTGCAAACATGTGCTGCATGTATTTACATTAAATACACACAAACACCCCAAAGTTGAGGTTAAGACACTAGCATACACGCATTGTATCAGCGTCTCTCCAAAAAGAAAATACCACACATACCTATAATCCTATAATATATATTTCAGTGTTGGTCAGTGTATCTGTGTTGCTGATATATGGAAAAAAACTGGCCAACCCTTCTCTGTGTTTATTCTGTTATAAAGCAGGTTTAACTGGTTTCTCATCTGAGCTGCTTTAATGAATGATTCCGCCCCTCCAGACAGAAATGGGTCAGATATAGGGGCAGGGCCTCACCTGCAGGGATTGATTCTGGGTTACCTGATGTCAGGTACTACTGAGCGGCAGATGGAACCATTGCATTGCTGCCAGGAGGTGTTCTGGTACTGAAGTTCAGCCTAAAGCCAAGCCTTTTGTACAGTTGATGGTCAATCCGAGGGGATAAACCGTACTTTGGAACAGCTTGAGATTTAAGTGCCTGCTCAAGGACGTAATATTAAATGTCTCCCAGCAGCATTTTTAAGCCAAAGCATTCTCGTATTACTTGGGACATGATTGTCTGAAGCATGAAAGGAATGGCAGTGCAGCCAGTCTATACACCCCTTATATTCAACACACACTCAAACATTCACCTAAAATGTAAATGTAAACTAAAAGTGCATGATTCACTGGATTCACTGGCTGATAAAAAGTGGACTTTAAAAGTGGTCCCCTATCAGCATGGATATAAGAAAAGCTATTGGACATTTCTTTATTATTTTTATTATTCATAATTTCAACAGACCAACCCTAGCCACTATAAATGCAAATGTATATTTATTTATATATATACATTAAATAAATATAAAATAAAATTATGCTCGTAAATTATTTTCTCAAAAAAGTACTAATACAATTTACAAAAAAGTTATATAAAATTACATAAAGTAAATATATAAAAATACATGTATTTATTTATTTATGAACCACATTTGCTTTTGATGACATCCCCCAAAATGAGATTTTGTCAGTTTTAGCAAACTCCTAGCAACATATCTCAGCAAATTTGTCTGAAAAGTATGGCTAAATTACAAGCGCGCGCACACACACACACACACACACCCCTTCACGGCCATTTCAATTTGTGCTGTGGTCTCCGGCCAAACCACAGAGGAAGTGAAAAATTCACAGCAATGAAAAGTCTCCTAAATCATTTCAATATGACAGCCCTAAATTTCTGTCTTTGACATAGCTTTTGATAAATAACTGAAATAACACAACTACCGATGCCATCATATTGAATCATAATTGAGGGGCCGCTTCAGTGTCTTATGGATTTATGCACTGCAGGGCCGGTGAGCTGTGGCTTGGTGATGTTATTTTCCCCTAACAAGCAGAATTCCATGGAGCGGTATGAGGCCGGCGTCCTCAGTTGCTAAGAAACAACTCTAAATGGGGGATAATTGGCTTAGATAATTGTACACACACACACACACCCCTTCACGGCCATTTCAATTTGTGCTGTGGTCTCCGGCCAAACCACAGAGGAAGTGAAAAATTCACAGCAATGAAAAGTCTCCAAAATCATTTCAATGTGACAGCCCTAAATTTCTGTCTTTGACATAGCTTTTGATAAATAACTGAAATAACACAACTACCGATGCCATCATATTGAATCATAATTGAGGGGCCGCTTCAGTGTCTTATGGATTTATGCACTGCAGGGCCGGTGAGCTGTGGCTTGGTGATGTTATTTTCCCCTAACAAGCAGAATTCCATGGAGCGGTATGAGGCCGGCGTCCTCAGTTGCTAAGAAACAACTCTAAATGGGGGATAATTGGCTTAGATAATTGTCTAAGCTGCGGCTGCTTTTGCCAGCAGAAAATCAACAGCATGTTTAAGGGTTCATAGATGATACAGGTGCATCTGAAAGGAAACATTTAAAAAAGGGATAAATCATACAAAACAGATTTCTTTCAGAACGCAAAGCTCCCTTCCCACATCACCCAGTCCATTTATGGAAACTAAAATTCTGTTTATACCTGATACTAACATTCATTTCATATGGACAGCACTAAATATGAGGGGTTCAAATTGTTTTGTGATTCGATCACTTAACCCACATTTGGAAGCAGCTGAAAATGCGAATCTATCAGTTTCACCTGTCAATCACCAATTGCCCTAAAGTAAGTGTTTATTCGACAGTTACATAAAATAATGGTGAAATCTTTGCAGAATTTGCCTGACATCAACAAGCAGCAACACAGACCACATGAAAAAGCACATCCAAAGTACAGTTAATACAGTTACTTGACTAAAATAACTGAAAATTCTGCTTCTGCCACTAATGCTTGTGGTGAGATTAAAATTTGGATGTAAATGTAATAATATTGTGCCATTTTATCAACAAGCACTGATGCACTAACTTTAAGAGTGACTTTGAAAACATTGGTGTTGAAACCATTTTCACCCAGAAATTGTAGTACATTTAACAAATACTTACAAAGAAATGGCAAGTAACACTGAGTTGAACATGAAATTTTGAAGTCCCACTAATGCTTGTGGTGAGATTAAAATTTGGATGTAAATGTAATAATATTGTGCCATTTTATCAACAAGCACTGATGCACTAACTTTAAGAGTGACTTTGAAAACATTGGTGTTGAAACCATTTTCACCCAGAAATTGTAGTACATTTAACAAATACTTACAAAGAAATGGCAAGTAACACTGAGTTGAACATGAAATTTTGAAGTCAAAAAATCTAAAATAGTAGCCTACTTTACTATAAAATGCACGCCAATATTCTTCGTTTTATTCACAAGTTTGAAAAAGCATTTTTAAAATGTAGCCACAAAATGAGAGCCACGAGTACAAATGGTCACAATCAACGCATTTGCAACATGTTACTATCAGATGAAAACAGCTGACCAGTTGTGATCTGTACTGAACTGCATTGACACATGGAAGTTAAACTATCAGAGGTTATTTACATAAGCCAACCTCAACCCTACAGTAAGTCTTAAAGGTACAGGAACAAATAGAGCTTGCTATTAAATGCTATAAAGTGAAAACTGGTATTGATATAAATTATGACACATTCTC